TATATATATATATATATATACATACATACATACACACACACACACACACACATACATACATACACACACATATATATATACATACATATATACGTATGGTATTCAACTTTATACAGGAGAAAGAAAACAAATACATATATATATATATATATATATATACACATACATACATACATATTGATTTCCAGGGGTACCTTGGAGATTAGTTAAATTGCTTCTAAGTCCCCAATATTTTCTGATTACACCGCCCCCCTCAACCCAGGGATTTCAGGGTAAGATTGTTGAAGACCCCATACATTCTTACACCAAAGAGATTCCCCCCACCCCGGTTCAGTTTGGAAGGAGATGTAGCCCCCCCGCCCAAAGCCCCCCACAAACCAACCACGGTAGTAACCGAACCCCGGTTACTCACTCGTCCCATCGTCCGGCTCAAAACTTCCCGTGCTGTTCCACGTGTTGCTGTTATTGCCATAACTTTCGTCCATGCTGGTGGGTTCTGCGTAGTCCGCAGGGTTGAAAGTCCTGGGGGGGGGGGGGGTTGTGGAAGCAAGGAAACGTCAGCGGGAAGCCGTTCTCCGATACAAGCGGTTGAGCCAAGCTGGGCTACTGGTCCCTGGTGAGGAGGCTTCAGATGGATTTGTGAATCAGACCCTTCACGAGCCTCCATCCGAAGGCTCCTCACCAGGGAACCGCTAACCCCGCTTGAGTGCGCGGCTGGTCTTGCCACCCGCTAGGGCCTTCTCCGTGGTGGCTCCGCCCTGGTTATTGGAAGGACGGCCTTTCTCCCAAGGACATGTATCCGATCCACCCAGAGGGCAGGGGGTGCTTTATGAGATCCCCTCGTAAGGAGGCCCATCCACCCCTGCTCTTTCACAAAGCCCGTAAGACCTGGTTTTGCCCTGGGGACCCCTTGAGGTAATACAGAGGTAATAGAAGTGGTTGGTGTGATTGCTGGAGGAAGGCGAAGGATGGTTAACTTGTCTTGCTTTTGTAGCTCAGAGTCACTTGAGTCGGGCGGCCATGTAAATTTGCTTAAATCGATATAAACTCAGCGTTCCGCAGAGCTAGGACTCCAGCACGAACGGCTTGGACGGGCATCCGTCGCTGCTTTACGCTACTCTCTTCATCAAGTCTGCGCCTCCTTCTTAATTCTCTCGGCCTCAGAAGCCCCAACACGTATCTTTCTCAACCAACCAACCAACCAACCAACCGTTCCTTGGTGTTTGCCGAAATTGGTTGCTAGCCACTAGCACTGATGCTGTTACCTAGTTGGGTCCTGAAACGTCTGCAGGAAAACCACCAAGCCTAGAACCCCAGAGTTTTCTTCCTTCCTTCCTTCCTTCTAGCACTGATTCTGTTACCTAGTTTGGGTCATGAAACGTCTGCAAGAAAACCAAGCTCAGTCTTCCTCATCTCTGCAAACCTCCCTCCCTCTAGTACTGATGAAGTGACCTAGTTGGGTCCTGAAACGTCTGCAAGAAGACCACCCAGCTCAGAGAACACCCAGAACCCCACAGTTTTCCTCCTTCCTTCCTTCCTTCCTTCCTTCCAGCACTGATGCTGTTACCTAGTTTGGGTCATGAAACCGTCTGCAAGAAAACCGCCAAGCGCAGAGGGCACCAAGGACTGCTCCTTTCAAGCCCGAGCTACAAATATCCTTTATTGCAACCTGGAATGCGGCTGGTGTTTTACAGCGACCACAACTGGACACGGAACCAACTCACGAACCCGGAGGGACGCTTACCCCATGCCTTGGGCAGAAAACCTTCCTCCCCGTCGTCCAGAACCGCCTGGAGATAAAAAGAAAACGGTCTGTTAGCTGCCTTCAAGGTTCACGATTACCCAGGGTCTGCTTTTAACCAGGTTAAAATCCACCCACCCACCCCGGCGGCCTCAGTAGCAAAGTCAGGCGAATGAAAAGAGACAGAAAAGCTCCTGTTTAACAACTTCCTGGCAACGCTGAAGGAGCTATTTACGAGGCTTCTTCTTAGGCTTCGGTTTCTCCACAAACCAGGATTTGTTGTCGCAGGGCTACCCACGGCCACCTGGGCTTCCTGGCTCACCTCTGCCTCGCCCACGTCCCCGTCGCCCTCTCTCCGTGCCTCTGCCGGAAAAGCCACTCGTCTTGCTGCCATCCAGTCCGTTCTCCTGGCCCCGAACTGCAAAACACAACAAAGCGCTGGGAGATTTGCAAGCGAGGAACCCAGGGCAGAGAAAGAGAGAGAGAAGGAAATATGGAAGGAAAAAAAAAAAAAACCAAGCCCGAGCCTGTGTGAGCGATAGCGGTGCCTCTGGAAAACCGACTCGGCCGCGGCCTGAAACCGTGGCCACGGCCAGGAAAAGAAAACAGCCACACACGGCTGTGGTATCCCCAAAAACTGGAGAGAAGCCACAGCCTTGCGTGCGGTTGTGTCCGTTCGCTGCATCCCATTCTGAAAGCTGAACCTCAGCCGCAACCAAGTTAAACAACCTCCAAGAGAATAAATTTAATAGGCAGCCCCGGATTGACAAGAGCTCGTTTAGGGACCGGTCGAAGCTACAACGGCGACGAAAAAAAGTGAAGGTTTTAGAATAAGATAGAATTGGCCAATAAAGAATTCAATTCTATTCTATTCTATAAGTGAAGGTTAACTTATGACCTTTGCAGCATCCGCACGGTCACGAGAGAAAAACCCAGGCACTTAAGCAACAGGCTCGTATTTACGACGGATGAGATGTCCCCGGGTCACGCGGTCCCTTTTGGGGTGACCTCCTGGCAAGCGAAATCCACGGGGGGGAGGCCAACCACCGTGTTCCTCCCTTACCAACGGCAGCGTTTCGCTACACAACGGGGCCAAGACAGCGTCGTAAGACGGTGTGGGGAGGGAGGCACCAAACTCCCGTCACAACTGCCTGGCTTAGCGATATGAAGTTGGGGCTCGGCTGTGATTGTAAGGATTAATTACATCAAGGCATTTATTATTAATATTATTATTATTATTATTTACATCAAGCCACACAACAAAACACCCCCCCCCCACACACATGACTTCCTCAGCCAGGAGCGCCTGGATATAATTCCACAAGAGAAGAGAGGGAAAAAAAAGGAACCGGTATCCAGAAATACAAAAAAAAAAAAAAACACCCCTTCCTCCTCTTGATTTTCCACATCCTGAGGCCCCTTCCTCTCCGAACAAGAACACCAGGAAAGCACTGAAGCGTTCAAAAGCGCTGCTGGAAGGTTCTCCCAGCCTCTGACTTTGCTCTTACCGATCCCTCCCCCGTGGGGGAGAGAGAAGAGCCTTTTGGGGTGCGGGGGAATTGGACCAAGACTTCCTGCCAGGGTGGAAGCAGCCTGCCTGAAGGTCGTAGCAACCTCCTGGGACGTGGAGGGGTGCGGGGCGGGGCAGGGCGGGGCAGGGGGTGATGGAAGGGGACGGAGGACGGGCCCTTATTTGGGAGTCACAAATGCTGCAAAGGAACCTTTTGCACCTCTCCTCTGGAGGGTCTATTGCTTTGTATGCAGAATCAGGGGCCTACATTCTCTCCCACGGCTGGCTCCGCGACCTCTTCGGGGCAAGCCGCTCCCCCGTCGCCGGCTGAAGTCCCGCTCTTTTTCCCGGTTCTCTTTGCCTTCTTCGCTGGGTTCCGTCTGTCCGCTGTCTTTCTGACCTGAGACGCCTTTCTTCTTCCCCACCATTTCCCAGGAGTGCTAAAAGAATGGGGGGAAAGGGGGAGAAAAGAAAAAATATCCGTGTGATTTCTGGCGTACGGGACAAGGCGCGCAGCCCCTCGCTTTGCAGCCATTCGCGTTAAGGACCCGTTTTTCAACGTTACAACGGTGTTGGAAGAAAAAAGGGACTGAGCAAAAGAGAAAAGTAAAAGGCGAAGTAAAAGATGCAAACGACACGGTAAGAGCGCTGCACCCCAGAACTAGACACAAGGACAGGTTTTCCCAAACGGCCGTTCAACGAACTTTTGTCCGTGGAGAGGACGTTGAAAACCCACCGCTCTGCTTCGGTGGGGTTTGCAAGTCGCGCGGAGCTGGAGCGCCCGCCCACGTCGGACCACCCAACCAATCAGCCTCAGCCCAGCTGAGCGCCGCACCTACCGTGTCTGGGTTTCCCTCCAGCAACACGTTGATGGCTCTGTTGACATCTCCGTTGCAGTCGTGCAGGGCGATCACACACTCATCCTGATTCTTGCCCGTGATGTCGATCAGCTGCAGAGGGAAAGGATACATGGTGAGAACGGGTTTCCGGCGATCCACAAACAGGTTAGGGATAAAAGAGAATTATTGGCAGCTCAGGGTTGAACCAAAGCAGGGTGGATTTGATTTAAATCAAGTCGATTTAAATCACGATTTAAAACACTAGTAAAAAAAAAGGCTTGACTTAAATCCTCTCGATTTTCATCATCATTTTTAAAGAGCAACCATCATGTCTTGCTGTGAAATTGTGTGAATGCATCAATGCAGTGCATGTTATATTGCCGAGCTTGGATTCATGGAATGAGTTGACCAAAAACGTAAATATTGCAGCATATACAGCCTCTTGCTACATAACTAAGCTCCATGTCATGCTGAATAAACTCAATTATTTAGGTATCTTAAATACAAAACTCTGTTTGGATATATTTTATTCCAAAAGCATTTTTATTAAAATAAATTTGATAAAAAAAATTTAAAAAAATCCGATATAATTTTTTTTCAATTTTTAAAAAATCATCCATTTTTATCCACCTTGAACCCAAGTAGCTTCGCTCTCAATCCACAAACCACATATATTCCTTTTTTTGAATGCCCTTAGAAGGCACAAAAAAGTTATTTTTCTGAAGCACTGCTGTTCTGAGCTTGTTAGTTCATTTTTATCTCAAATATCCTTCATCTTTTTCAGAAAATGACTTTTGCTTTTCCGGTTTAACGTTTTTATTGGGTTGTACAATAAAAAAAAATACAAAATACGAAAGTAAATAGGAAAACAGTGAGGGGGAGGAGAAGGGGGAAGAGAATTGAGGGAGGATGAGAGGAAAAAAGAAAACGAAACATTGACGTCTAACTGTGTCTGTTGCAGTAAAATAAGGCATTAACATCAAATCACAATAATAAAATCACAATATTTTTCATAATAATGAACAAACCATTTCTATAAAGACTTATCGGTATCTAATCGGTAAAACCCCAAATTAAAGTTTCATTCTTTTTCCACTCCAAGTACAAAGTTCAGAAGTAGAAATCAAAGTACTTCCAGTCTTTTCTTTAATCAAAATAGTCAAGTTTGCCATTTCAGCCAACCCCATCCACTTCTGCAACCATTTATCCATGGTAGGAATCGAGGTGTCCTTCCGTTTTTGTGCGTACAATATAGTCTTGCTGCTGTCAAAGAAAACAACTTTGGCTTTTCGAGCCAAAGCTCCATACATTATTTTAATGAGGCAGCCCTTCTCTTTTTCCCTGCAAACGTGAAAAGGTCCTTACTTTTGCTAACCTCCTCCTTCCCTTAAGTAATAAAACTTGCAACAGCCAAAAAAAAAAAGGCCTAAATTTAAACCAGCTACCTGCACATTCGTTTCCCCAGGAAACAAACAAGGCCAAAAAGAAAGAAAAAAACCACTATTTACTGGCAGGCAGAAGAGTGAGGCAGGGTTGACCCAGCCAAAAATTCACCAGTGTGACTCTATTAGCTGGAATGAGAGCAAGGAACCATTTCAAAGCTGTTCCTATTCTGGAATGATTTGCTGGAGATCTTACAAACCAGAACCAAAAGTCAGGGAAGTCACACAATTTGTTTGGAAGTGATGAAATTACTCAAAAGGGAGCCATTGGGGTTATATTACTGGATGCTCCAACTCAGCCGGTTCTGACCAGTTCTGGAGAACCGGTAGTGGAAATTTGGAGTAGTTTGGAGAACCGGCCAATCCCACCTCTGACTGGCCCCACCAACCCCATCGATTCTTCACCTCCCATTGAGTCCCAACTGATCGGTTGGTTGCCCCTGCACAGGAGAACAGAGCTGGAAAGCAGGTTAGTGGGGCCGGGGAGGGAGGGGGGATTTTCCAGTAGCCTTCTTTCCCCTGCCACGCCCACCAAGCCGCGCCCACAGAACCGGGAGTGACACATTTCGAATCCCGCCACTGCTCTGACCCCACCATAATGAAAGACACGACTTAAGACCTGAATAAAACAGGAAGCTTAGCTTGATCGTGCACAGGTAGTCCTGGACTTATGACCCACAGTTGAGCCCAAAGGTTTTTAAGCGAGTTTGGCCTCATTTCACACCCTTCCTTGCCTCTGTTTGTTAACCTGAGCAATGCGGTGAAGTTAGGGCCACGGCTGCTCGGTGAAATCTGTCTTCCCCGTTGATTTGGCTTGTCAGAAGGTGGCCGAAGGGGGTTCACGCAACCCGAGGACACTGCAAACAGTCATAAATACGTGCCAGTTGCCAAGCAGCTGGATGGCACGACCGCAGGGATTTTGCAACGGTCGTAAAAGTGTGGAAAACGGTCGTTTGGGGTTTTTTAACTGTCGTTTCAACGTCGGTCGCTAAGCAAATGATTATAAGCTGAGGAACCCACTTGTAGAAAGAAAACTATCGGTTGAGGCCATGGCTGGGCCTCCCCGTCTCTTCCCCCCAAAGCACCTGAAGGCAGGACAAGAGGCGAAGGATGGACACTAATCAAAGAGAGAAACAACCTCGAATTAAGGAGAAACTTCCTGACAGGGACAAGAATGAACCGGTGGAACTGCCTGCCACCAGAAGTCGTGAACGCTCCAGAACGTGACGTTTTTAAAGAAGAGATTGGATAAGCACCTGCCTGAAGTGGTGTAGGGTTTCCTGCCTAAGCCGGGGGCTGGACTAGAAGACCTCCAAGGTCCCTTCCAACTCTGTTGTCCTATCCTTCCGATGCCAAAGGACTTACTTGTTTCACTTTCTCCTCGAAGTCAGCATCGTTGTGGTCGGAGATCATCTGCGCCAGTCGAATTTGCTCCGCAGTGGCCTGGGGAGAAAAAGGCCCAGGAAGAGAAAAATGAGGCGCTCGCGTTTTCAGAGGGGCCGCGTCCAAAAGGAGAGGCGGGCGGCGGGTGGGAGGATGGAGAGACAGGTAAGTGGGTTGTAACCGTTCAGGTGAGGCGCCCTCAAATGACTGGGACAGGTGAGAGGATTCGGGCTCCAATTAAAGCCAGTTCCCAACTCGGGAAATAGCCTGAAGGGGAAACTCAAAACCTGAAAAAATTGTTCACCGGTCGCATCCTCCCGGGATGGAAGTCCTTGACTTATGACCATCGCTGAGAGGGGAATCTCCACCGCAAGCTTGTCACAGGATTCCATGAACAATTTTTTTACAGGGGTTAAGTGGACCGCCACGTCCCTTAAGCGAGTCACGCCGCCGTTAAGTGAATCACGCGGCTGTGAAGCAAATCCAGGATGCTTAATTGCAATGGGCGAAGCAAGCGGTGGCGGCTCCCAAGCCGTGTTTTAAAAAAAGACCGAATCAAATCCCAGCTTAGCGGAACGAGTTCTTGGCTTCCCAGTTTGGTGTAGTGATTAAGGCACCGGGCTAGGAAGCGGAGGACCCTGAGTTCAAGTCCCACCTTAGGCATGAAAGCCAGATAGATGACTTGGGGCCAATCACCAGGAGACGGGGAGTTCTAGTCCCGCCTTAGCTATGAAAGCCAACTGGGTGACTTTGGCCCAATCACCAGGAGACTGGGAGTTCTAGTCCTGCCTTAAGGCATGAAAGCTGATTGGGTGACTTTGGCCCAATCACCAGGAGACGGGGAGTTCTAGTCCCACCTTAGGCATGAAAGCTGATTGGGTGACTTTGGGCCAATCACCAGGAGACGGGGAGTTCTAGTTCCTTTTTAAGCATGAGAGCCAGTTTAGGTGACTTTGGCCCAATCAACAGGAGACTGGGAGTTCTAGTCCCACCTTAGGTACGAAAGGTAGCTGGGTGACTTTGGGCCAATCCCTATTCCTCTCTCTCTCTCAGCCCAACCCACCTTACAGGGTCGACATTGTGGGGAAAAGAAGAGGGAAGGAGCATTAGGTAGATTCCCCGCCTTATTTCTAACAATAACAAAGGCGGAATAAAAACACAGAATAGTAATAATTCCCTCGAGGGAACCCCGAGAAGCCTAAGAACAGTTGGGAGGCGGAAGACAGAACACCTCGCAATTCATGGGGATGGCAAATCCTTGCAAGTAGTCAAATATCAAGAGTTTTGCCCACCAGCCTGGAACCTGATTGCCCAGGTAACCAAATGCTTGGGTCCAACTGGCTAAGGAAGGAGCCGGGGAGAGAGAAGTGTGATTCCTCCTGGCACACACACACACACACACACACACACACACACACACCCTGGCAGCTATCCTCTAGAAAAGCCAAACTCCGCCTTCCCTCCCAGTTCAACTTCCTGGCTGAGAACAAACAAAGGTGGAGAAACTGCACCTTTGTCTCCCAGGAAGACGTTAGGGCCAGGTGCCACCAAGTCACAACCGAAAGAGCAAGGAGAGGCCGGGCACCACCCCTCCCGGTTTCCAAGGATGCCACCAGCTCCGCCCTCACCTGTGGCCTCTGCTTGTGCTGTGCCTGGGTCTGTGTTTGTGTCTGCTCCCAGCTTCCTCGGGCTCGGTTGGTGCCTACCGATGTCATCATTTACAGTATATACAAATAACAGTATTTACAAGGCAGAAATCTGTAAATGAAATCAAAGAAAGAAAAAAGGTGTTAAATGTTAAAAAAAAAAGTTTTCCTTCGCCAGCAGTAATGTCCTTTTCACGTTATCGACCAGGTGCGTACAGGTAATCCTCCGACTTCAATTTAGCTCAACAGGAGGCAAGACAGCGGGTTCGGAGGGGGGGGGTGGGGGAATTCTGCCCGTTTTACGACCTTTCCAGCCGCAGTTGTTGAATGAACCACTTGCAGCGGTTAAGTTAGGAACCCGGTTGTTTAAGTGAATCTGGTCTGAATTTGAATCACGGGACCCTGGGGATGAAAAGTGGTCATAAGTCACTTTTTCAGTGCCGTTGTTAAGTCCGAGCAGTTGCTAAAGAAATGGTTGTAAGTCAAGGACTATCTTTATTCCATTTTTATTTTTGGCTAATTTCCAGCACTTGCTTCAGAAGAGCTGCCAGCCTGTCTGTTAAAGAACCACGTGTTTTTTTCACTGCAGTAACCTACGCCAGGGGTCTTCAAAGTTGACAGCTTTAAGGCTTGCGCGCTTCAACTCCCAGAATTCCTCCTCCAGTCATGTCAGCTCAGGAGTTCTGGGAGTTGAAGTCCACTAGTCTTAAACCTGCCAAGATTGAAGAACCTTCATCTAATCTATCTATTCTATCACTCTTTATCTATCCCAGGGGTCTTCAAACTTGACAGCTTTAAGGCTTGTGGGCTTCAACTCCCAGAATTCCTCCTCCAGTCATGTCAGCTCAGGAATTCTGGGAGCTGAAGTCCACTAGTCTTAAACTTGCCAAGTTTGAAGACCCTCGCCCTACACCCACCTCCTGCTTACTGGCTACCATTTCGAAAAGACTTGAGGACGATCGGCGAGCCCCCCCTTTAATTTTTCTCCCTTCTGGCTTCACCCCAGCTCTATATGATGGACTTCAATTCTTAGCCATCACAACTCCAGTTGTTAAAAAAAAAACCCGATAAGCCTTTTCCTAAGAGAAGTTTCCATGACCAGTGGAAAGTTATAGAGGTGTGTTGCAACACACCACCCGAAAAGAAGATGGATCACTTTCTGTTAGAAAAGGAACACCATAGCAGGACTTAATTTCACATTTTTAGCATCTCTTTGGAGCATCAGGATTTTCTGGTCCCATCCTGGCTTCAGAGAATTGAAGAAAGCTTTATCGAATCACAAACCAGGAAAGGGCTAAGTACTTTGAAAACACCAAAAGGTAGCTGGAAACGCAACGGGATGTACGAATTCCGAGTCAGGATGGGGAAGTTCATAGAATTGTTCAAATTTTCCCAGCTTTGCAGATGTATTTTAACCAAGAGCAGAGAGAACGGGCCAAGATACAGCAGCTGCCTTAAAAAAAAACAAAAAACCCAGGTAATTCTGAAATCCAGACTAGCCAAAGGCAGAAAGGCCGCCCCAAAACAGATCACTCACAAGAAAGAAATCAGAAACCAAAAATTTGAGGTGTTCAGGGTTTTTATATGGAGGAGGACAACTATCCCCTTTTCCTTCCTTCCTTCCTTCTGAGAAATGACACCGCGCACGTAAGCCACTTACAGCAAAGTGATTCAACCCAACCTTGGTTTTCCAGGAATCCAATCCGCTCTTTTTAAAGAACCCCCTGGCTGAATCAGCTCGTCAAAAAAATCCCAGGCAGCAAATGGCTTGTGGAAGGAAACATTTTCAATCCACGGGACCAGGCCGGTTTGCCAAACCAAGTTTTAGCCTGGGCAGCAAACACACACACACACACACACACACACACAGAGGTGGGAGAAAGAAAGTGATGCAACAAGGTTCGTGTTCTGTCTCCTGGCTCAGAAATTGAGCCCTTATCTTTGGAGACAGGGGGGGAAGAAAAGAGAACGGGGTCTTGTTAAGCTAAAGGCACATTTTTTAGGGAACCAAGACGTGAAATGTATGCTTGGGAAGGAAAATCTCTCTCCGGTGTCTATTTATGGCACACCTGGCATTCTTATAATTGTAATATACAGCAGGGATTTCCAAAAGAGCTGCTTTTGAGCTCTCCGGACCAGTGACAGTGCAGGGTGTACGCAACAGGAGTATCAAGAGAGACCCGAAAGGTGTTAAGGCCGAGGCACAAAATTGGGAAGAAGTAAACAAAATCTTCTCAGGCCGCGATAACAGAAGAACTTTATTGTATTAACGTCCTCTGGATATTCCCAAAAGGAGCCATTTCTGGCTACAGCCAGCCAGCCAAACAGGAGTTGGCGTTCCTGGATGCTTGATTTTTTTTTTCTCTCTCTCCTTTTCCACCACTTCCTCACAAGAGAACCCCGTGAAAAATGGGGTGCGCCCAGCTCCAATGGAGGTACACACCTGCCTGGCTTACTCGGCGGCCTCCGCTAAAAAAGGAAGAGATGGCAGGTGATGGGAGAGATTTTAGAGAGAGAGGCTGCCAGCCGAGCCAGCACAGTTGGGAAGAAGGAAAATCCACCTGACTTTAGCATCCGGAGGAGCGAGATTTGCCCGGGTGGGGGGGGATTTGTCCACGTCTCACAACTTCATCCTGAAAAGTTATTGGCTGCTTCTCAGGAGCCGGGGACACCTCCCCATGGGTCCAAACGGCCTTGCCAGCTTCGGGCGAAGTGAAACCTGGCTCCAAAGATGCCTGGTCAATGTTTGGGGAAGAGATGGGAAAAGACAAGCTTTTTAAAAAAAAAAAACCTCCAGATTTCTTTCTTTTTTTAAAAAAAAATATATAAAACTTCAGTTTTCTTTGAAAGAAAGGAAGAAAAAGAAAAAGAGAAAGAAAAGAAAGGAAAGGAAAGAAAAAAAATTAAGACAAGGGAAGATTCAATGTTCTGGAGAGGGGGTTGTTAAATCTTTTAATTTTATTCTCAAGGACTGAGGAAAACAAGTCCCTGGCTGGAGACTTTTGATTAGGGGAGATTCTAACAAATGGTGCTTCTTTACAAGAGTGAAAATCCACAAGCACGAGAAAGCAAACCCTTTTGTCAAGATGGGTTACTTTGCAGAAGACGACGTCTAAGGGGACACCGGTTTTGCCTATATCCCACGATCGACTTCAACACGATTCGCGAAATGGGCCGGATAGCGGGATTAAAGTGACTCTTGGCTCTCTTCCTCTCTCTCCAAAGTAGCCTTCTGCTCCTTGAAGACATCCTGCTAAAGACCAATAGGCCACTGCTTATCCTCCATCCCCTTATGAACCCAAACAAATGGCAATAAATTCACCACCAGATAGCAAATGTTTCAAAGACCGGTAATAAAGATGGAAGTGGTTTAAAAAAAAAAACACAAGATCAGGAATTTGGACAAAAGATAGTTGAGTAAACGTGTCTCATTTAAAGAATAGCAGTTCTCTCACCTTGCTGTCAGGTGAAGAAGGCCAAAAGGGTGTAAGATCAAGGTAGCTAGACTATATGAAAATGGAACGTACACTAGTCTTCCCAAAACTAATCTCTGAAAGAGTTTGCTCCGTGGTCCAACCTATGCAATCGCAGTGTTATTCTTTCCCATGTTATTCCTGAAAGAGGGTAATTCTTGGATTACAGCTTCCATCCAGGGAGAGCAAGCTTCTAATCATTCATAGGCCACTTTTTTTCTGTCCAGGGATAATTCATTGCTTGTTGATTTCTGAACTGAGGCCTCTCTGCTTTCCAAATTGCTAACTACTATCTTCAAACAGCAGCATGAAAGCAGGAACTTTCTCTGTTAACAAGTTCAGAAGGGACGAAAAAACAACAACATGGCATCTTGAGCTTACAAAGAGAGGCTGGGTTAACAGGGCCTTTTCTTTAAAAGACAAAATAGAGATAGCACTGTTTTCAACAAGATTGTAGTTCCTCGCATGTCCATCTGGAAGTAAGACTGACTTACCTCAGAATAAACACAAAAGAAGAGCAGTCCAACGGAAAAAATAAGAACACAAAACGCAGATTGCTGAAATAGGCAAGGAGGATTCACGATTACATTTTGTTAGGAAAAGTACACTGCTTACCACAAAAAAACAAAAACAAACCTCAAATTCTTTTCATTTCTTTCGGGACATAAGGAAGCACCTAATGTTTTGGAGGACAATGAAATGCTCGGCTGATTGAGAAGATTGGAGCATCATTCCTGAGAAAAATATTATGGTTGATTTTGCTTGAATGTCCTTGAGAAAAGAATGATGCCAAGAAAAGTTAAGAAGCCAGAATGTCAACATTGCTTTTAGGCCTTAAAAAAAAAAGGAAAAGAAAAAGGGGGAAGAGAGAACACAGAGCTCGTGGGATGAGTAGGAACAGGAGGAGCAGTAAACATTTCAGAAGGATGAAAAGTTGTATCTTTTGTGGCTTTTTTGTCCATCCACTGAGAAATTGTGCTGACTTACAGCCGTTGTGAACTCCCACAATTGTGGCCTTCCTGGCTGGGAAGCGACCCAAGCTGTTTATTTGGAGAAGAAGCTATTTAAGAATATCACAAACAGTAGGACTTAAGAGAAGGAAACAGCAGGCCTGTAAGTTTCTTAGGGTTACAAAGTCCCAGGTGAAGTCACTCCCAAGGTGACACAACACAAAAAACGATTTTGTTCATTTCAGGGAAACTGCATGGGGAAGAGGTCCAGAAGACCCCGGAAAGAAAAGAAGGAAGAAAAGCGTACAGGGTAAATTCCCAGAGCCTCAGGAATTCTAGTGAGCTGAGAAGCATCTAGGAAAGTGAAAGAGAATCCCGAGGAGACCTGCCGTTGCTAACTTTGCAAGAAAAGGAATAAAATGGCCTCAAACTTCAGCCTTCAAATGCTTGTGCATCACTTTTTTCTCTGAAAATTTAAAAAAACTTCCAAGGCTCCTGGGAAAGTCTTCCAGCAAAACTTCAGGCCCAGCAGAGCCGCAGAGCACGGGGTCCAAGAGATAACAGGCAAGCACATCCATTCGCTCAGCAGCCAGGTTGGCCTGGAGTCAAGCTGGATTGAACCCCCGCTCAGCTGCAAACAAGACTGCTGGGCACCAAGCCCTCACCTCGGTTTTTTTTCTTTTCTGTTTTTAAACGGTGGGAGGATAACAAAGGAACACCCTACTGCCTTGCTGAAAAAGGAGCTGGCAGGCTTAGGAGGAGGAGGAAGAACCACACGCTCTCAAGATTGAAGAAGCCTTCGGTTTTGATTTTTTTTTTAAAAAAAAAAAGAGGATTAAAAAGCAAAATTAAAGAGATGGAGAGGATATGATAGAAGCAGGGGGGGGGGAGGAAATGAGAGGGAAATCAAGACCCTGATCTTATGCAAAAGATCTCCCCTTGGCACAGAAGAGGGATCCCTGAAGAGAGCAGATTTTTAGGAGATCTGACTTTTTAAAGGAAGTAAAATGAGACCATCCATCTTATGCAAAAGATCCCCCTGGGTGGAAGAGAGGGAGAGAGAAAGGACCGTTTTCGGTTTTAGGAGGGGTTGTTGTTTTTTTGGCCACTTTTTGTGGCAAATTGAGACTCCTGTTTTGTGCAACGGATCCCAGGTAGGGAAGGAGGGAGAAGAAGGGATCACTCCAGATTAGAATTTGGGGAGATTTCTGCCACTTTTGGAGGGGGGCAAATAAAGACGACTTGCAATCTTATGCAAAGGATCCCCCCCCCCGCGTGGAAGAGGGAAGGGGATCCGATTTGGGAGAGATTTCTGCTACTTTTGGAGGGGCCAAATAGCCAAAGGATCCCCCTGCGTGGAAGAGGAGATCACTTGAGATCAGATCTGGGGGAGGTTTCTGCCACTTTTTGAGGGGGCAAACAAGAGACTTGCAATTGCAATTTTATGCAAAGGACCCCCGTGGAAGAGGGAAGGGGATCAGATTTGGGGAGATCCCTGCCGGAGACGCTGACCTTACCCCGAGGATCTCTTCGCCCCCCATGCCAGAGGGAAGAGGCAGAAGAGATCCCGGTGGATCCCAGGAGATCCCTGCCACTTTTCCAGGAAAGGGGGGGGGTTATAAAAACACGCCTCCTGTCCAAGCCAGGAAAGGTGGTTTGACGAGGGAAGGACCCAAATTTATTCAAACTCCCCACCCTCCGTCCTGTTGGCGATGCCCCTTCCCCAAAAGAGATGGGGGGGGGGTTGCCCCGTTTGAGGGGAGGGGGGGCAGGAAACTCCGCCAGGCCGGAGGGTGGGGGGGAAGCTCCGTCCAGGCCCGATTGAGCCCCGGGCCCGGCGAGGGGGGGTCGCAAGGCTCCGCCTCCAGGACATGGGGGGGGGTGTCCCGGGGTCGCCCCTCCACGTGGGGGGGGGTAGAAGGACCCTCCCCCCCCCTGCTTCCCGCCCCGCGGTTCCTTGGGCCCCCGAGGGCCGAGGCGAGGCCGGCGGGCCCGGGAGGAAACAATGAAGCGGCGCTTCCTCGAGGGGGAAGCGGCCTCGCCCGGGCAGGAAGGGCCGCCGCTCTTCGCGGCGGGAGGGGGGGGGGGAAGAGAGGGGGGGGGGGGCCTGCGGGGGGTTCCCGGGCCTCGGGGGGGGTCATCGGAGGCTCAAAGAGAGACGATGGAATCCGATACGGTCGAAAAGTGGAAAAAAAAAAATCCTTTCCCTCCCGCCTTCCGGGGTCTTTCCGGGGGTCGAGGCCGACTTTGGGCGCGCCCGGCCCGGCTTGGCGTGCTACGCGAGTCCCCGGCTTCAGCCCGGCCGACTAGGCCTCGACGGAGGCGCTCTCGACCGGAACTCGCCCGCCTCCTCACGCCCCCTTCCTCCCCTTCAGGCCGGCAGGGAAAAAACCCTCCCGGAGGCCCCGGCCGAGCCGCGGCCGCCGCGCCAGATACCCGCCTCCGCCGCGCCGTCGCCGCCGCCGCTGCCGCCGGTTCCCGGGAATCGCCTCATAAAAGTAAAGCGGGGATTATCGCGCGGGGGGGGGGGGGGGGGGGGAGAAGGAGGAGGCGGGGCCGGCTCTTAAAGGGGCCGCGCGCCATTTTTTCCTCTTTTTTTTTTTTTTACCTCAGCCGCCGCCGCTGCCGCCGCCGCCGCCACACACGCACACTGACAACTGAAGCCAGCGCGGGCGAGGCGCCGCCCCTTCGGCCACGTGACGCGCGGGGGGCTGGGCCGCGCGCGCGGGGTGGGGTGGGGGTGGGGGGGACGCCCGGCGTCAGGTGGCCGCGGCACGCCCCCTTCGCCCGCGGGACAGCGCTAGTGCGCCTGCGTGCGGGGGAGGAGATTGGGGGGGAAGAAAAGGGGAGGAGGAGGTGTGCTCCCCCTCCCTCCCTGTGTTTGTTTTCCTCGGTTCTCCCCTTTAGCCCCGCCTCTGAGCACGTGACTCTGTTTGGCTCCCTCTTTTTCTTTTTTTAAAAAAAATCTCTGGTCTCCGGCAGCCTACTCAACTTTTCTCCTTTAATGTTAAGCCTTTGTGAAAGAGATTATAGATAGTTCCGGCTCCTGTGCGACAGGGCCTCCCACAATGCGGGGTTGGGCCACGCAAAAACAAAGCGTGGGCAAACGGAGGGAAATCTCTAACCGATGCTTTGATGATTTGCTCGCTCGTCTCCCCGCCCGGGTTAACTCTGGAACTTTTGGGGTTTACTTTTTAAATTTAATTTGGAGCGTTGGCTAACGCCGCAATTCTAACCCCCCCCACCTTCCCTTGAGAACCGGACGTGTCGGGCGTGGAGAACGCCTTTCTCTTGAGCTTTCCAATATGGCGAGCCGCCTTTCTCTTCGTGGTTTTCCTCCACTGCTTCCGGTCAGCTGACACCCCCCAACTTCCTCTCCTTAACATTTTGCCCGTCTGGTTGGGCCTGGAGGCGTGGTCATAGCCACGTGACCGGCGCGCGGGCGGCTCCGGCGGCGGCCATGTTGTGCGGCCCTGAGGGCGGCCGGGCCAGGAGCCTCGCCCGGCCATGGCGGGCTCCGCTTCCTCCGCCTCCGCCGTCTCGTCCTCCGCTTCTTCCTCCTCCTCTTCCTCCTCTTCTCCCTCTCCCTCTTCACCGGCCCCGTCCAGTAACTGGCTTTCCGGGGTGAACGTGGTGCTGGTGATGGCCTACGGGAGCCTGGTGAGGCCAATCCGCGACCCTCGGATGCCTTTCGCCTTTTTCCCTTACGACGGGAGGAGTGCTTGGACTACAGAGCCCATCGCCCGCAGCCACTGCTGCTTCAGGGCTGGAAACGCAGCAGAGCGAGGGGCGGGGAAGAAACTAGGCGGGGAAAAGGAGAGTTGCCTTGGGCGATGGGCTTTGTAGTCTTCGGGCTTTGCAGTCCATGGGGAGGGAGGGATTGGTTTGGGTGATGGGAGTTGGAGTCCTCACCTTTGGAAAGCGGAGAGACGCGAGAGCCTCCGTTTGATTTGCTATTATGAATATTACTGCACATAATATTAATATGTAAAATATGAATTACAATATACTTTGTAAGAATCGCCTTGCAGGGGGAGATGGGAGGCCTTAAAAAGGTAATAAAAAAATAAACGGAAAAAAGAATTGCTGCTTTTATGATTTGTTGGCTAGCCAGATGTTTAGACTGGGCCTGGCCTTTTGCAGCCCTTCCTATGATGATCACTATTCATTTACTCTTCTTAATTTTATTGCTGTTTATTGCTGATGAATTAATTACAAATACAATACTAGATTAATCATATATGTTGATATATGCCAATATTGCTACGGTTGTCTGTATATGCAATGCTGGGATGTTTAGACTGGATTTGGCAATTGGAATCCTTCCTATTATTAATAGCATTATTAGTATTCATTGCTGTTTGTAGTCTTTGTTATTACTCTTTATTACTACTATAGTAGGACTACATTGGGTTAATTGCATGTGTCAATGATGTACATTAATATTGTTACATTACTTTTATAGTTTGTCAAACAATCAGCCGGTTGTTTAGATTCAATTTGGCTTTTTGGAGCCCTTCTTGTTACTATTACTATTATTACCACTATTATTATTATTATTTTATTTAAACATGAAACAGTCAACTGCAGATTTAAAAATGTATCACAAATACTATTGACTGGCCCTGATGGTTGATACGGGTTGCTGCCAGCATCCTAAGTATCAACCAAGTTTTTAAATTATTATTGTTGTTATTATATTATATATTTAGTCTTCAAGTCCATTCACAGTCTGGGACAAGGAATAACTTAACAGTTCAAGTCCTAACCAAGGACCTAAGAATTGTTAAAGTAACATCATTGCTATTGTTTGCTGGGTTTTATCGGGGTTCAAACTTTTCTCTGGGATTCAAACCTTCCAGGGTCATCCCCCTTCCCACTACACCTCTGCGAGGTAGGCTAAGCTGTCCCTCATAGCTGGGGTGGGTCCCCTCCGCTTCTCCAGCCTCCTCCCTTCATCGGGACCGCTCACTGACCCTTCCTTTGCCTCCTCTCCAGGTCTTCGTCCTGCTCTTCATCTTCGTCAAGAGACAGATCATGCGCTTCGCCATGAAGTCTCGCCGGGGCCCCCACGTGCCGGTGGGCCAACACGCCCCCAAGGTTGGTGAACAAACCGGGGTCTTTTCCCCTCTTTTCCTGGGGGGACTTCTTGAATTCGCCTAGACCCCTCTGATTTCAGCCTTAAAAAATGAAGGAGGAGGACTGTGGGTCCTTGGTGCTGTCTGTGCTTGGTGGTTTTCTTGCAGACATTTCATGACCGAACTAGGTAACATCATCAGTACTGGAAGGGAGGGCAGTTTGCTCTCTATTTAGTTATAGCAACCCCCCCCCCCCTCTAGTTGGCTCAGGAACCGTCTGCAGAGACCACCCAGGACACTAGTCCTCCTCCTCGCCACAAACCTCCCTCCCTTCTAGTCCTGATGATGTTACCTAGTGGAGTCATGAAACATCTGCAAGAAACCCACTGAGCTCAGGGGGCTCCAAGCACCCTTCATTTCATCCCTTGAGCACCAAATCTTCTCCTTTATCAGCGATTCTAGAGTCGGTGCACGTTATAATCTCATTGGCCTGCAACCTCAGGAGCCTCTTCATCATCATAATTTTTGCAAATCTTGACTGCTCCGTAACAGAGGCCGATAACGTTCGCGGTTTGCAAAAGGAGAGCCAAATCCATGAGAAATTGGTCCTCCAGTCAGGAGTAATCTATCTAGAATAGAGTAGAGTAGAATAGAATGAGGATAGGATAGGATAGGACAGGACAGGACAGAATAGGACAGAATATAATAATGTAGAGTAGAATTAGAATTAGAATTAGAATAGAATAGAACAGAAATTAATGGAATAGGATAGGATTCTTTATTGGCCAAGTGTGATTGACACACAAGGAATTTGTCTTGGTGCAAATACTCTCAGTGTACGTAAAATAATTTGTCAAGAATCATCAGGTACAACACTTAATGATAGTCATAGGGTACAATAAGCGATCAAATCATACTAGGAAACAGTCAATATACATTGTAAGGATGCAAGCGACAAAGTTACAGTCCTACAGTCACAAGTGGGAGGGGATGGGTGATAGGAGTGATGAGAAGATTAATAGTAATAGTAGTGCAGACTTTGTAAATAGTTGGACAGTGTGGAGGTAATGATTTGTTTATGGGCACAAAGTAGCAGAGTTTTACTCGGAGAGGTCCGGCGTGTGGAGCTAATCCTTCTCTCCTTTCAATTCCTCTCTCCATTCAGGGACTCAAGGAAGAGATCGACATCCGGCTATCCCGGGTTCAGGACATCCGATATGAGCCCCGGCTGCTGCTGTACAGCGACACTCGAATGCTACAACTCGAGTCGCCTAGAAACCCATGTACTGGACTCCAGCATCGGCGGGTGGGTGGGACGAGGGCAGAAGCCTGGGGGAGACCCGGCCCCAACTAAGCTTCTCCCCTGTTTTCCCATTTCAGTCCCTTACAACTACGTGTATCGGATGAAGGCTTTGGACGCTGTCCGAGACACAGGTAAAAAAAAAAAACGAGAAGGCGTCCGGCAGAGCAACGAGAGGTTCGGTTTTTGCATTTGGTTTGGTTGCATTTCAGCTGCCCCCCAGCCCCGGGGGGGGAGTGGGGGGCAACGTGGACTGTGAGAAGATCATCGGGTGGGGAGGGAGGGGGTTGCTGCGTTTTGGAAAAAGCCTTTGACGCGCCTCTGTTTCGGGAAACTTTTGGTTTTCAAGGTGACTTCGTTAGATGTTGTGTCAGAGCCAGTTTGGTGTCAGTTAAAAGCATCGAGTTGGAAACCAGGAGACAGGGAGTTCTAGTTTTGCCCTAGACAGGGAAGCCAGCTGGGTGACTTTGGCCCAATCACCAGGAGACGGGGAGTTCTAGTCCCGCCTTAGGCATAAAAGCCAATCACTAGGAGACTGGGAGTTCTAGTCCTGCCTTAGGCATGAAAGCTGATTGGGTGACTTTGGGCCAATCACCAGGAGACGGGGAGTTCTAGTCCCGCCTTAGACATGAGAGCCAATTGGGTGACTTTGGGCAAAATCACCAGGAGACGGGGAGTTCTAGTCCCGCGTTAAGGCATGAAAACTGATTGGGCGACTTTAAGCCAACCATCGGGAGGTTGTGAGTTCTAGTCCCATCTTAGACATGAAAGCCCGCTGGGTGACTTTGGGCCTGTCCCTCTTGGTCCTAGGGAGGAAGAAATGGCAACCCTCTTCTTTATCATAATATACATAAGTTCTTTATCCATAAGTTCTTTATCTTTATCCATAAGTTCTTCTGAAAATCAGACACCATTGAACAAAAGGAAAAAAAAATAAGTTATTGATAAAAAATACATATTTACCCGGAAGGATGTATTTGAACCGTCTCAGGATTCCACGACGCCCCAGGCCAAACCTGGGCTCGTTGCAAAAATAAAAATAAAATAAAAATCAGCTTGTAGCAATTGTTGCCCCCACCCCCTCCTCAAAAAAAAATAAAAATAAAAATCCAACCCTGCCACGCTTGTGGGCGTGAACCGCGTGCCCCTCCTGCGCTTCCCTCCGCAGAGATCCCCTACTCCATGGAAGGCCGCTACCCCAAGTTGCTGATGGAGAAAAACTTCCAGACTTACCTGTTGGATCTCTGCAACTCCAGCAGCTCTTTGAAGGGGCTCCGCAAGACTCTGATCGATACCCTCCTGGACGGGTACGAGAACGCCCGCTACGGGACAGGGGTGAGTGTGTCGTGCGTGTGTCCCCCCACCTCACTCCCCTTTGGCTCCCGGGGGCTGGAAGGGGGCTAGGGGGAAGGGGGTGCCTGTCCGTCGAGCCTTCCAGTTCAGGCAGCTTTAAAAGACACGGGTGGGTGGTTTTTCCGCCCCCTTCTCTTTCTGCCACAGGCATTCGGCAAAGTGGAATTCCTCCGCTTCCAGGAGGCCTTGAATGAGCTGGTGACCATGTGAGTTTGGCAGAGGGGCTGCAGGCGAGGGAAAGGGGGGCTGGATAACCGAAGAGTGGGAAGGGCACCTCGGAGGTCTTCTAGTCCAGCCCTAGGCCACTTCGCACGGTGGTAGAAGGTCCCCAGCGGTTTTTTTCCCCCTGAATCTGGGTTTCACACCTGGGCAGGTGGGTTGGTTGGTTGGTTTTTTTTTTCCTTGCCTTTAAATGTAGCCCCTCCTTCCCGCAGCATCAAAGCCCGGGGCGAGAGCAGCCAGCGGCAGCATCAGTCGGCCGCCAAGGACCTGACCCACTCCTCCGACCTTTCCAGCCCCACCATCCAGGTCACCTACCTCCCTACCAGCCAGAAGAGCAAACGAGCCAAGCACTTCCTGGAACTCAAGAGTTTCAAAGACAACTACAACACGCTGGAAAGCACCCTGTGACACCCCCCCCCACCCACCCCGACCTCCCCCTGCCCAGGAGGGGGCACCTATTCCCTCCCCCAAATGTGGACCAATAGAGCTGGCCTTGCCTCTACTTCCCTTCGTGGCTGCGTTTGGAAGCCTTGCTGTGAAAACCTGGCGGGATGGAGGGAGGTGGGAGGAGAATAGCTGCCTCCCTTCCCGTCTCCAAAGCGAACCCTGGATAGTTTCCTCCCCCCATTATTCTTATTTTTTTCTTATTTCCCCCCCCCCCCTTCCATCTCTTATTTATTGACAAAAGACTCGTCCATCCCAGCATGCCGAACAAAAAAAAAACAAACCAAGATCGGGCCAAGTTTTACAAGACTTTTTTTTTTGCCCCCGCTGCGGGAAACTTTATACCGGACTTTTCCACTTTGGACGACGTTGGCCGGAAAGTGGCGTGGCGGTGGACGTTGCCGTGTCCACGGATGCGAGAGAAGGTTCCACGCGGCGTGGGACGTGTCCAGTGGGAGCATTTCCACGTTTCCAGAGCAGGGAAGGATCGTCCCAAGAGAAAGAAAGAAAAAACACAAAATTTTGTGCCCTCTTTTTACACTTCAAAGAGCCACGGCCACGTGGCACCATGTCCCGTGTCCTTCGGGGACGTGGCCCCTTCTCCAGATCTCGTTCCTTGGAACGGACTTGCTCAGCCTCCTCTCTTTGAGTTGGGCAGTTTGAAATAAAAACGGGCAGTTTGCCTCACAAACACAGACACACACACACACTTCCTTTGCGGGTTTTTGTGTCCAAAGATGGTTAGAAAAGTCCCCTCCAGAATAAAGGAAACCAGGTTTTGGGTGGGTAGGAAGGGGCGGTGGTGGAAATAACCTGGTTTGCCAACAATTTGCAGGGTTGTTGTTGTTTTTTTTCCATCCTGCAACAATGGACAAACGTGGCTTTATTTTTGGTGCCTGTTGGGAGCCGAAGCGATGGCGAATTTTGCTCTCGATTTAAGAGGGCAACGCTTGGATTTCATGAAACATCGTTTGAGGCGGAGGGATGGCGGCTTTTGTTTTTAAAAAGATGGTTCCTTGCAGATTAGGCAGAATTGCAGTCCTTCCGTATGAAAATTAATAGAACATAGAATTCTTTTATTGGCCAAGCGTGATTGGGCACACAAGGAATTTGTCTTTTTAATCCTTAAAAAGTCGAGAGCAACCAAACATCCCAAAATTAATGTTTCATCCCAAAATTCAGCCCTTGATTTGACTACAAACACCCCCAAACTCTATCAGAAATGAGACCCTGCAAGGCCACCTGCTCCGAGAGGCTGCGCCAACGCTACAAGTCTCACAAAGACTCATTTCTGGCGGAGTTTGGGGGAGAGAAAGGAAGACTTCTGCGGCTTCTGCTGCTTTCCTTGCATGAAGCCAAAAGTCTCTCCCCCTCTCTCTCTTTCTCTCCCCCTGAGAACGGAGCTGGAGACGGGATCCGGCGATCCCAAATAAAGAACGAACGATCGGTAGGAAAACGAGGTGGGATTTTCCTGCAGATTTTGGGGGGGATTTTCCCAGGGTCTCTGGTCCGCAGGATTTAAAAGTGTGAGTTTGGTGGTCCCTGAGGTCCAAAAGGTTCTGGCGACCCCTGTTTTAGAAGCTGGATGGACCAATCTTTCTTTTTTTTTGCCCGTCCTTCAAATTGCCCCGTTTTTAATTCTTTTTACATAGAAATCTCAGCTTTCCCCCCACCCTCCGTTAAAAAAAACCCCCACCCAAATTGTTCTCTCGAAACTAATCAGCTTTTCAATTGGACCTCGTGTCTCTTAGCTGGTTGCGTGAAAGCCAGCTGACACCCAGCTTGAGGGCTCATCAAACAAGAAGCGGGGGGTGAAGGAGGGAGGGGTGGGGCTGTTCCATTTTGAGGCCATCTTGTCAGTAAGCGGAATCAGCCCTCCGTGTGATGAGTCCACGGGCAATCCAAGCATCGAAGGTCAACGGCGAAGCCGGGAGGACGGCTAATAGCTTCGCTGGAAGGTTGGGAGCCTCTTGAGATCAACCAACCAACCAAGAGGGGGTTAGACCTCTTGGTGTCTCCCCTCGAAATGGGTTGACACCCCACCGCCCAAACGACGAATTTGAAGGGGAAAAAAAAAGGGCAGAACTTCGTTCCAGCGCTCGGAATAACAAAAGAGTTGGAAGGGACCTTGGAGGTCATCTAGTCCAACCCCCTGCTGAAGCAGGAGACCCTGGTCCGTATTCAGACAAAGGGCTTCTTAAAAAGCCTCCAGTGACGGAGGTCCCACAACTTGGTTAATTGTCCTCCCTAATTCGGAAATTTCTCCTTCCTTCTAAGTTGCTTCTCGCTCCTTGGTTAGTTTCCATCCGTTGCTTCTTGTCCTGCCTTTAGATGGTTTGGACAATAAGTTGACCCCCCCCTCTTCTTGGGGGCTGACCCCCAAATACTAGAAGACTGCTAGCCTGCCTTTAGTCCTTGTCATTAAACTAGACACCCCCAATTCCTGCAACCGTTCTTCGTATGTTTCCTCCTCCAGTCCTCGAATCATCTTCGTTGCTCTTCGCTTCGCTCTTTCCAACATCTCAACTCAGGTTGTTCCTGGTTCCTTCCTGAATTTGGAAAGTTGACCCTCCCCAACCAAGGCTGGCTTGATGTGGAGGTGGGGCGACCCGGCGTGGTTCTTTCTGGCCAGCTGCCCCTTCCTTTCTCAAGGTCGATGGAGACGTGCCCAGCCAACCGTGTGCCTTCAACGGTCCCGGGGCGACGATGGCCATTTGGATGAAGGGAGAGGTCGATAAGCTAGCATTGGAGCTCCACCAGGGACGGAACGAGGCTGGTGGGCTTGGGGCGGGGTGGGTGGGTGGGTGGATTGAGAAGAATTAGGGTTGCAGTAATGTCCAAGGACATGTGACAATAATTAGCTGGGATGAATCGAAAGGCTGCATTGCACAGGGCTTCATTTGAGCGGGTGGGGGGCCATTTTTCCATCCTGGTTTAGTCGAAATAAACCAATTTATTTCTCCCTCTCTGCCATTGTTTCCACATTCGCACCCCCAAAGCTGATTTTTTTTCCCCCCTTCACGAATACTTCTCAACGTTGCCATTGAACGTGGTTTTCCGCAAGCCACAAATGTTCGTTTGGGCTAAAGAAGGCCAAAGTATCTAGTAGGAGGAGAATAGAATTAGAACAGAGCAGAACAACAGAACAGAACAGAACAGAACAGAATAGAATAGAATAGAATAGAATGAAGAAGAGGAATGGAATGGAATAGAATAGAATAAGAAAAGGAATAGAAGGAATGGAATGGAATAAGAATAAAATAGAATAGAATAGAATAGAATAGAATAGAAATAAGAATAGAATAGAAATATATGGAATAGAATAGGAATTAGAATAAGAATAGAATAAAAATATATGGAATAGAATAGAATAGGAATTAGAATAAGAATAGAAATATATGGAATAGAATAGAATAGGAATTAGAATAAGAA